TGCATTTCTCTAAGCCCGTGAACGTGGTTGCACACCCTACGATCTTTGATTCATAGAACTTAGCTGTGTAAGGCATCTGCTTAGGTTCAATTTTGAATGCTATAATGGCAGTTATTCTCCAGTTACGTTACATCGTCATCTTTATTTCAGACAGATATAAGCTAAATGTCATTGATACTTACGTAGAAGGAAGTAATGACTTCCGTTGACTTGGTTTCGGGTGCCTTGATTCTCATGTTGAAAGATCCTGATCCGTACATCAAATTGGATTCAAACCCGGACCCTGTTAAGGAACATGAAACCAATCATAAGCATCATATAGACACAAACACACATAGAGACAAACACAAGCACATACAGACAGAAAGAAAGAGAGATGTAGAGAGAGAAGGAAACCAGAGTTATGATTGAGGGTGAGGTCGAGCTCAGAGGTTTCATTAAGAACCAAAGCTTGATTTCCCCATGTTAAATAGTAATTGTTGAGCCATGTCACGAACCCATTAAGTGTCTTCACCTCGAGCCGCGGCTACAATCACCATAACTATCAGTAGAAGAATCTTCTGATCAGATCCTCTCATCTTCATATGATCTCTCTTTTTCTCTCTCTCATCTTTTAGCTTCTACTTCACTTCACTTAAACACAATACAACACCACTCTCTTTGGCTTGTGTTATGTACACGTTATAGAGCAGCCACGTATGTTATGTTTTTTTTCTTTCACCCAATCAATTAATTAAAAACTATCCATTGCATCATCATAATCCATATCAATTAATTAAAATGTTTGTAAGTTCAATCCCCCCAGAGGTTTTTGAGCTGTTTGTAATTAACTTTGTTTTCTTTTTAATGTGGTGAAAGCTGTGTCACCTGTGTCTCCAGCTTGTTTTATACACATCAAGCCATACATTGCAAAAGCTACTATTTCCCGATTCAGTTTAGCTTAAATAGTTACCTATACATTACAAACAACTCTATTTGTCTTTGTTTAGTAATCAACTTTTGGGTTACTATTGAGATAGAGATGAATAATATATTTGCTGTAATTTAAAATTTTATATTCTAACTTATCTTATATTAGAATTTAAATTACAACAAATTTATTCATCTTTATCTCAATAGTTAGGGCATCTCCATCAATGTTTTTTAAAAGATTTTAACAAAAGTATTTAATATATAAAAAAAAGAAAAATAATTAAAAAAAGAGAGAGAATGAAAAGAGAATCTTAAGACTATTTCTAATGTATATATCTATTTTTTTTTCAAAATAGAGTAATTCTAAAATGGAGTTAAGTTTTGCTCCAATGTATATTTCTATTTTTTACTCCAAAAAGAATATTCTCAATATATTCTATTTCTATTTTATTATTAATATTTTTTTTCTGAATTACAAATAAATTCATTTATTTTATTAATTGTAAACCTTTTATGAATTATGAATTAAGTATTTATTAAATAAAAAAAATTACATAATGTCATAAAAATATAGTAAATTTTTATTTAAATATTACCATTACTAAATATTTCTCATAAATAATTAATTAATGCATTTCGAAGTGAAAAATGAGTTTTTTATCTTTGATTTTTATAAATCAACAAAGAAACTCTTGAAACCGGATATTATCATCATCTGCTATTTGGAAGTTTAGAGGTACAATTTCTCTTTCAATTACAACTGGTGCTTCGAGATCACATTCATCCTCGATTATCATGTTACGTAAAATCACACATGTAATCATTATATCATGTAAAACAACTTTACTTGGATAATTTTTGAATGATCTTGGTGGATCAGAAAGCGGTTTAGGGAATTATTAAAAAATTATACTTGTTATGTTAAATTTATCTTTGTTACTTGTTTAATTATGGCATTTGTTATATATTTTTAATTTTATTTTATTTTACCATTTTGAATAATAATTTTACTGTTAAAATATTTATAGTTATCTGTTTTATAATGTTTATAAATATTAAATAGTATAAAATAAAATTATTTAATATTTAAAGATTATTTTGTAAATAAAAAAGTTCAACTCCATAAGGGAGTAGAATTTAGGTTTACTCCAAATATATAGTCAAATTTAGGTTTACTCCATTTTAGAATAGACAATAGAGTAGGATTAGAGAGGGAATTTACTCCAAAATAGCATTTGGAGTTGAAAATAGAGTAAGGTTGCAGATGCTCTAAATAAGAACTTAAAAAAAATTGTTAAGAACCCCAAAAGACACTTGTTCTCTCTTGATTGGTTTATATATATTTTCTAAATTCGAATATATATATATATATATATATATATATATATATATATATTTTTTGTCAACAGCTTCAAGTTCCTAAAATGGTGTTAACCAAATTGCTGGAACTGAGTTTACATAATATAGTTGATAAATGTAGTCTCGAGCATTCTGTACTAGCTTGTCTGCTTTTGTGTTCTGCGCGCGTAGGATCTTTGAGATTGAGTAAGATGCAAATCCTCTTCTGCTCTTTTTGTATTCCTCCAAATGTAATGAAAAAGCCGGCCATTCCGCTGGATTAGACACCATCTACACCAACTTGGAACTGTCTGTGAAAAAAAGCGACCTTTAATCTCTTAGCATCAAGCATACAATGCATTGCCCATATTAATGCCTCTAACTATGTGTGCAAAGGGGAATAAACACTTTCCCACCTTACGTGTTCCCATTAATGTTCCCACCGTACCCATTCCTTGGCTGAACCATCCCAAACCCGCATTTGGTATGTTCTGTTTCCATGATCCGTCAATATGACATATAATCCCGTCTGTGTCCAAAAGTACATGTTGTGTCCTCTGTGGGATGGATACCACTATGTCATCTGATTGCGCCTCATCCCATGCATATGCTTCTGCTATTGCTAATTTTACTACCTCCCGGGGATCCCGATCAATGTTTGAGAATATCTTATCATTTCTCATTTTCCAAACATACCAAAGTATTCAAGGGTATACTTTCATGTCCTCATGATTTGGTAAATGCCAAAAAAGATGCGCCATATTAGAAAATAAAGTATCTATGGGAAAACCATGCATAGGTGAAGATATTGGCGATAGTGCCCTGACCTAGAATGCTGGAGGGCATTCGAAAAGTGTATGATTTATTGTTTCCTTATCAGTACCACATCTACCACACTGAGGATCACAATTTATTCTCCTAGTTCAAAGGCGATATGTGACTGCCAAACATCCCGAAATGACTTTCCGCGTAAAATGTTTCAGTTTCGGTGGACATTTTACTTTCCAAACATGTGCCTGTAACTGGCTGACATACGGTCCATATAATCTAGTATCGTCACTATGATTTGGGTAAGCCTGCTCTATCAGGTATCCTGATTTGACCGTATATCTTCCCGTTTTTGTGAAGTTCCACCCCAACCTATCTGGTCTTCACTCCTTAGTAGTCGCCATTCTAGTTATCAATGGTATGTCCTCTTATACTATTAACTGTTTGATTAGTGGTAAATTCCACGTTGATGTTACTGGATCAATCAGTTGATTGACTGTAAGCTCTGGGTAATAATTATACCCTTTGCATAATGCTGATCTCAGGTGTGAGGATGAAAGCCAAGGATCATTCCATACAGATATAGAATGTCCTGATCCAACTCTTTTGATAAGCTTTTTTTGTACCAGAGATCTAGCAGATGTAATACTCTTCCATCCATACGATGGTGAGCATGACTGTATTGGGTATAGAGGTGTTGCATGTCTGAAACACCGTCCTTTAAAAACCCTTGCAAATAGTGAATCTGGGTACTCAATAAGATGCCATAATTGTTTGCCCAGCAGTGCTGTATTAAAATCCTCAACAATTCGAAAACCCAATCCTTCTTCAGATTTTTCTTTGCATAATTTCTTCCAAGCAATCCAATGCATGCCCCGTGTTTGTCCATTGTTGCTCCACCAAAATCTTGCCACTGTGCTGGTAAGTTTATAAGTCAGTGATTTTGGTAATCGGAAACACGACATGGTATATGTCGGAAATGTTGTGATCACATATTTGATAAGAACCTTTTTGCCCCCTTTCGATAATAACTTAGATGTTCAACCATTAACCCATTTTTGTTGTCTTTCTTATAAAAAGTTAAAGATCTTCGTTTTTGCATCCCCTAAACTCCCTGAGATCCCCAAGTATGACCCTGTACCTACATTGTTTAGAATGCCCAGAATATTGTGTACCGATCTCTTGTGTCAGTGCGTCCACCTTGTGACCGAATTAAACCGGTGATTTTCCAAAATTGATCTGTTGTCCCGAGACACCCTCATACTACTTAACAATATTTAGTAGTACAGTCGCTCCGTTTGTGTAGTTTTACAAAATAATAGACTATCGTCCACAAAAAAACATGTGAGAGATAAACGGGTTTGTACGTACAAATTTAATTATAAATTTTAATATATTAAAATAATAATTATTTGTTTGTTTAAAATACCCTTAAGACTATGATTAACGAACTATCATCAAATAAGTGGATTTTGAATCAATTTCTCAACCTACATTTCAATGTCTTTGTGTCATGTTTTGCACTTAAGCTGAGAGTATTCCATGGATGCCAAATTTCACCTGCTGTTTGAAGACAGCAGATATTAGTCGACTCTGCCTTGAATCTTGTATGTGTCTGATCGATTATGCCTGAATTCAATTTACATTTTGGAAAAAAAAAGCAGAAAAAAAGAACTCTTTTATTACTCTCTGTACAGTATGTTATTGTAGCTAAATCATCAGTTGCCTAACTATATATATATGTGTGCAGTTTCTAAATTTATGCTTGTTTTATTCTTCATTTTTGCTCATACTTTACTTCTAAGTTCAAATCTTGGGATGAGCAAACCCAAGCTGTGTAAAGGTTTATCTGTGATATAGCAATGTATCATAACAGAACTGTTATTTTAACAGATGATTCATATTTGATAGGAACTGCTTAGTATAAAGCATGTTGCAGTAACATTTGTTACATTTTTTTTCAAGGTTTTCGTTTTTTTTGTAGGCTAACTCTTTGACAGTTAATTGATCTATTCTCTAACCGTAACTTCTGCATTCTCGAGGAACCTTTGGATGTCGCTTTCTGTCAGAGCAATAGTCGTAAACCAGGTACACCTTCCTTGCGTTCATATACAGTTTCCTCTCGCTAGAGCTTAGTTGCCAATTCTCTTTGCGGTTCCACCAGAACTTAGGATCCGTGCATTTCTCTAAGCCCATGAACGTGGTTTCACACCCTTCGATCTTTGGTGACTGGAACTTAGCAATGTAAGGCCTTTGCGTGGAGTCAATTATCGATTCGTTTTGCACACTCCCACGTATGAACATCGTCTGTACCGATGGGTAGTAAGCGTCTGGATTCTTCCTGTACACCCGGATCGGTGTGTCGTCTACATAAAACCTGTATTTTTTTTATTTTTTTTGGTTACTGAATGATAATCAATGTATTAGGTCATGAAGTGTTATTTGAAATACTCACACAAGCTGATGTGGGTTCCAAAGAAACCTATAGGAATGATAATCTTTGGTTGGATCAAACCAGAGACGAAACCTCTGATCTTTGTCTCCTTCACCGTAGAGAAACATATTTGTATTCAGCAAATACGTTTGCCCATTTCCCAAGATCTGGAAACAGAGCTCGTCATGGCGGCTTGATTTGGAGATTAACTGCCATATAGGATTCAAGCTCTCCAGTTACGTAACATCATCATCTTTATTTCACACAAAGATAAGGTTAATGTCATTGATACTTACGTAGAAGGAAGTGATGACTCCCGTAGACTTGGTTTTGGGTGCCTTGATTCTGAAGTTGAAAGATCCTGATCCGTATATCAAATAGGATTCAAAGCCGGACCCTGTTAACGAACATGAGACCAATCATAAGCATCATATAGACACAAACACAAGTTCATAACCACATATAGAGACAAATACAATCATACACACAAGCACATACAAACAGAAAGAAAGAGAGATGTAGAGAGAGAGAGAGAGAGAGAGAGAGAGAGAGAGGGAGACCAGAGTTATGATCGAGGGTGAGGTGGAGCTCAGAGGTTTCATTAAGAACCAAAGCTTGATGTCCCCATGTTAAGTAGTAATTGTTGTTCCATGTCACGAACCCACTAGTATCTTCACCTTGAGCCGCGGCTACAACCATCATAACCATCAATAGAAGAATCTTCTGATCAGATCCTCTCATCCTCATCTCTCTCTATCTCTATCTCTTAGCTTCTACCTCACTTCACTTAAGCACAATACAACACGACTCTCTTTGGCTTATGTTATACACGTTAAAAAGCAGCCACGTACGTTACGATTTTTATTTTATTTTCACCCAATGAGTCTCTATTCATTGCATCATCATAATTCATATCAATTAATTTAAATGTTTGTGAATTTAATCCCCCATAGGTTTTAGAGCTGTTTCCGATTAACTTTGTTTCTAGTGTGGTGAAAGCTGTTTCCAGCTCGTTTTATACGCATCAAGCCATGCATCGCAAAAGCTACTATTTCCCGATTCCGTGTTGTTTGGCTTAAATAGTTACCTATACAAACAACTCTATTTATCTTTGATTAATACTGTAATCAATCCTTAGGTTACATCTACTTAAAATTTTAATGGTAATCATTGAAGATGTCTCAAGTCCTTGTTGTTTAATTAATTGTTCATAGTTATTAAAATTATTTGTCACTAATCACATCTTATATCAAATTTTACGGTTAAAAGTCAAATTAAAATTTTCCGTAGACCATTTTTTTTTTGAAAGTTGGTTACTACGCTTTTTTATTTTCCTTCGTCCTAATCCGTTTATCACGATTGCGAGAATTCCGTGTTTGTTTCCTGCAGTAGTTTCTGGTTTAAAATCCGTCGTAACGTTAACAAAAGTGTTTATTTTTTGGTCGAAAGTTGACAAAAGTTTTTTTTTTTTAGGTCGAAAGTTGACAAAAGTTATTTTACATGACCGTACCATAACAAGTCTTACACCGACCTAATCGCTAATATAAATATTTAATCACGTCATTGTCAAATTCGCTACCAGTTTAACATAACTAACGAAGTAAGCAGAGTTTTGTCGCTTGTGGTTAGTGATCCACTAATAAGATTAAATCATTAGAGATTTGTTGAAATGAATGGTGACTGGCTTGTTTTAATTAATTAGGTTTAACAATTAAAATGTGCCACTAACTCTCTAAGTTTCTTACTTAGCTCCGTTTGTGGGTAAATGCGGAAAGAGAATGCCAAAAAATGCCATCAAGACGACAGCTCATATTTTCACAACATGTCAATACGACAATATACCACGCGCCTTATATTTCAGAATCAACTATATTTTGTGTTCGTACGTACTCGGATCAATGTTGAAGCGTTTCCAAATATTTGATCTTTCTTTTATCTACTCCTTATCAATTTGTCGACATGTGACACTTCACCACATTTGATGTATGAAAGTCTCAAGAGAGTTTAGTCAAGGATAGAATTATTCTAGCCATTATCTTATTGTTATAGTAAAAAGAGATACCACACCTCTATAGACGCCGTACATACATTAATGTGTAGATGAAACATGTGTTTGACTGTTTCCTTCGAAAATCGTCAAAAACAAGTGTATTAGAATCGCAAGATTAATTATCTACATATTAAAGTATGGAATCTTGCCTGAAAAATTGAAAATGTATAAAGATAGGTGTCGTAACAAAGGTTCACGAATTCAATCTAGAGCTCGTTTTTGTTCTCAAATTTTATAGCATGCAGTTTTGAAGTTTCACACTTTGATTCGGAATTTTTTTGAGCGAGGCATTTGTGTTTCTAGGGGGATTTTAGAATTATCTTATTTAAAACTTTTCATTGGTACTGTTAGAGATGAGATTCGTACCGTCTCTAACAAGCCCGATATAAATTCTAATCGGTCCGTCTAACAAGTTTTAGGTTGGTAACAGAAATGAAAATCTTCCATTTGTTGACGATCCGCGAAAAAAGGAAACTCCTTGCCGACAAGAGTTTCCTATTCCAAACAGGTTAAAGACCGACCTGATCGGCTATAAATGCAGGAAATCCTCGACTCCTCAAACTATCCAAAAACCATCGATCAAGACCTAAAGCAAAACTTAAGCGATCAGATTGTTCTAGTTCTTGATTTATTTCCTTAAACAGTTTTAGGTCGGCGTTCTTATTCCGACGACCTAAACACCGTTGTATTCAACCAAGCTCCGGCTTCTCCTAATAAAAAGATCTCTTTGAAAGCCTCGAACCCTAGTTCTTTCGTAGATCGAACTTGAGTTTTTACAGTTGGCGCCGTCTGTGGGGATTAAAAGAGCAATCTTTGACTTAGAACGGAGTTCGAAGATGGTTGAAACACCGATCAACACTACCGACTTCACCGGAGGAGCCTCCGATCCAACAAAAAATATTCAAGATCCGATCATCGACCCAGCCACGGAGCTTCCGGTGGCCCACCAGATCGATCAGGAAGACAACACAACTAACGCACAGAACACCGGGGGAACAGACCAGGTCGGTCAGACGGGTGGCACAAACACGACCAGCCTGCCACAGCCACCTCCCATCGACATGGCCACGATCATCAGGTCGGTTGCAGCACAGTTGCAACAGAGGATGGACGCTCGCTTCGAATCCCTCCGAGCCGAGCAGATAGCTTACAGAAAAGACTTGGATCGGCTTATAAACTCTAGGGTTCATACCTAAGAGCAGGTATATCTTATCACTCCCCCTCGCCCTTCGATCCGCAACACAGATACGACCAGGCTGGTCAACAACTTGTTTGGCACGACACCGACGGATGACTTACGGAGAGCACAGGCAGACGGCTCGCATGCCCGCTCATCTCGTAATATCGCAGGAACCGACCCGATGACAACCTCGGAACTCGATCTGCTCCACCAACGCCTTGATGATATCCACAGCAAGATCCACAAGACGACGACTTCAGCGCCCGAGTTGGATAAGATCCATCAGGAGACACAGCAAACCCCGTTCACGTCGGCTATCACCAATGCTCCTCTTAAGGACATAGGTCGGATGAAGCTACCTCCGAGTTACTCCGGCACGACAGACCCGAAGCGACACCTGACCGCGTTCAACGCAGTCATGGGACGTGCTCGCTTCACCGATGAGGAACGGGAAGCATGCCTCTGTCAATACTTTGTGGAGACGCTCTCCTGGAGCGTCCTCACTTGGTTCTCACAGCTTTCCAAGAACTCCATCGACAGCTTCAAGGAGCTCACAGCTCGGTTCCTGAAACATTATTCGATTTACATCGACACGGAGTCCACAGCGCTCGATCTATGGGCATGCGTCCAGGGCGACACGGAACCGCTGCGCGATTTTATCGACCGATTCCGATCAATCGTCTCCTAGTACAGTCTGTCGGACGAACTGTGTTTCAATATTCTTATCAAGAATTTGAAAGATGATTCATCGTTTTGTGAACGATTGAAGACAGGAAAAACCAAAACCCTTGAAGATGCTTTGCACAAGGCATCCGGGTACATCAGAGTCGAGGAGGACCGGGCAGCCAAGGCCAAGGCCAAGTTGGCCGATGAGAAATCTTCGCGCGACAAAAAAGACAGATCGTCGAGTCAGGAAGATTACAAAGAGCCCCATCAGCACTACGACAAGGATGACAAGAATCGCAAGAGCATCAACGTAGTTGGACGACCAAAAAAGCCAAGGAACGTGTGGGACTGCTCGAGCGACAGAGACCCCGACAGCAAGAAGCCATGGTGCAAATACCATAAAGCGCGCGGTCATCATACCGATGATTGCCGCACCCTCCCAGCCCTCTTGAGGAAGAGGTGGGACGATGGCGAGATCACCCTTCCAGAACCCCGGAGTTCACGACGATCCGACGATGAGGACAGGCGACCCGATGACGATCGCGATAGAAGAGATAACACCGATCACTCTTCTAAACGCGAGGGCAAGGAAGCAAAGCGTGACCGTGAAGACGATCACACACCTCCAAGCTCACCCCATCGGCGGATCAACATGATCATGGGAGGGCTCCTCTCGTGCACCGACTCGATAAATTCAATTAAACGGCACGAACGGAAGGCAGTCAATCCCCTGAAGGACGCACCACTACTATTCAAGGACGACCTCTCGATCACATTCACAGAGCAGGACGCGCATGACATCGACCGACCTCATAACGATCCACTCGTCATCTCACTACGACTAGGAGAGGACGACATCTCCAAAGTGTTGATCGACACTGAAAGTTCGGCCGACCTCATCTTCATGGATACTCTACACAAGATGAGTATCCCCGAGCGGGACATCAAAGTCGCACCATCACCACTCACAGGATTCGCTGGAGACTCGATTTCGACAATATGAACTATAACGATGCCTGTCACCATACGCGGGAAATCAATTACGGTCAAATTCGAGGTTATTGACCGACCTGCGATCTACATTGCCATCCTTGGAACACCATGGCTGAACGCCATGCGAGCCGTCCCTTCTCCTTACCATCAATGCATCAAGATGTCGATCAGGGGACGTGTCATCACCATCTGTGGTGACCAGAAAATGTCCCGACATTGTTACATCGACAACAAGCGCCCCCGAAAGGCATCAACGTTCGTGATCGGTAATAGTAGCGATTTCGACCCACGGATCGTTCATCACGACGAGCAGCCGAAGAGCGATCTTATCACCCAAGTCAACATTGATGCTGCCCACCCGGAATGTTGCGTCGGTATCGGCACAGAACTGTTGCCCAGTATGCAGGACGAGCTGATCAGTTTCCTCCGAGAGAACGTCGCAACATTTGCGTGGTCCATGGCCGACATGAAGGGCACTAACCCCCGAATAACGAGTCACGAATTGAACGTCGACCCAACCTTCAAGCCAATCAAGCAGAAGCGACGAAAGTTAGGACCTGAGCAAGCACAAGCCGTCCACGATGAAGTAGATAAACTCCTGAAGGCCGGATCAATCGCCGAAGTAAAGTATCCGGATTGGTTCGCCAACCCGGTGGTCGTCAAAAAGAAAAACGGCAAGTGGCGGGTCTACGTGGATTTCACCGACCTTAACAAAGCTTGCCCGAAGGACAGTTTCCCTCTTCCTCGTATCGATCAACTCGTCGAGGCTACAGCAGGCAACGAGCTACTCTCCTTTATGGATGCATTCTCAGGATATAATCAGATTCACATGAATCCGGACGACAGCGAGAATACTGCATTCATCACAGATTGGGGCACCTACTGCTACAAAGTCATGCCGTTTGGTTTGAAAAACGCTGGAGCCACTTACCAGCGCCTGGTCAACAAAATGTTCGCCGACCAGCTTGGGAAGACGATGGAAGTATATATAGATGATATGCTAGTCAAATCAGCTAAAGCAGCCGACCACATCATCCATCTGCGAGAATGCTTTCTCATACTGAACCAGTATGGCATGAAACTCAACCCCGCAAAATGCACCTTCGCAATCACATCCGGCGAATTTCTAGGATACTTGGTCACTCAGCGTGGCATCGAAGCCAATCCTAAGCAGATCTCCGCGATCTTGGAGCTACCCTCGCCAACTAACACTCGCGAAGTTCAGCGCTAACAGGAAGAATAGCCGCGCTAAACAGATTCATATCCCGATCTACAGACAAGTGTCTTCCGTTCTATCAACTCCTACGAGGCAACAAGCGATTCGAATGGGACGAAAGTGTGAAGACGCATTCGTACAGCTCAAAACCTACCTTTCGACACCACCGATCCTGGCCAAACCTGAGTACGGCGACACTCTATTACTCTACATTGCAGTCTCTAGCACGACACTCAGCGGAGTCCTGGTTCGAGATGACCGAGGGGAGCAGAAGCCGATCTTCTACTTCAGCAAAACCTTGGACGGTGCTGAAACTCGCTATCCAACCTTGGAAAAACTCGCTTTTGCCGTGGTCGTTGCTTCCAGAAAGTTGCGACCTTATTTCCAGTCTCATTCCATTGCTGTCATGACCTGCCAACCTCTTCGATCGATCTTGCACAGCCAGACGTAATCCGGCCGCATGGCGAAGTGGGCGATCGAGCTTTCCGAGTTTGATATCGAATATCGAACGCGAACCTTTGCAAAATCACAAGTTTTGGCAGATTTTTTGATCGAACTATCGCCAGAGCTCTTGAACACCTACCCGGCAAATTCGGAGATGTGGACGCTCCACGTCGACGGAGCATCATCACGCCTAGGTGCTGGCATCGGCATTCTGTTGGAATCTCCCACCGTAGAACTTCTCGAGCAGTGCTTCTGTTTGGAATTTAGTGCATCCAACAACGAAGCCGAATACGAAGCACTGATCGGAGGTCTCCGGTTAGCTCGGGGAATGAACATACAGCATATTCGGGCATTCAGCGACTCGCAGCTCGTCGCCAAGCAGTTTAGCGGAGAATACGACGCAAAGGACGACCGAATGGACGCCTACCTGAAGCTGGTAAAGCAATTAACAGCAGAGTTCACGACCTTCGAACTACATCAGATCGACCGATCTGCCAACACCAGTGCGGATGTCCTAGCTGCTATAGCATCAAACAGAGATTCAGCCCTTCGAAGAACTATTCCCGTTCAAGGAATATCCCAGCCCAGCATAGTCCCGCCCCAGGAAGTTCTTCAAATCACAGCCGACGAAGACGAAACCGTTCCTATAGCAACCCTTGACGAACAGCCAGCAGCAGATTGGCGAGTTGAGATACGACGCTTCCTGGAAACTGGTGAGCTACCACCAGAGAAATGGGCAGCTCGGCGAATTCGTGCTCGAAGCGCCAAGTACGCAATCGTCGAGGGTGTCTTATGCCGATGGACTGAATCAGGCATTCTTCTTACTTGCCTCCATGGCGACGAAGTTCAACGATGCATCAAGGACGTTCATGACGGTGCAGGTGGAAGTCATTCCATCGGACGAGCTCTGACTTTAAAGATTAAGCGACAAGGGTTCTTCTGGCCGACCGTGCAGGAGAACTGCATTCAATATGCTCGGAAATGCGAGTATTGTCAACGACACACCCCGATGATTCATCAACCAATGGAGTTTCTGACGTCGGCAGTCCCTCCTTACCCATTCATGCGATGGGCAATGGACATAGTCAGACCGATGACCTCTTCTCGTCAACGCAAGTACGTGCTCATCATGATCGACTACTTCACCAAATGGGTCGAAGCCAAGGCGTTCGCCGACATTACAGCCACCAAAGTACAAAACTTCATCTGGAGATACATCATATGCCGACATGGCCTTCCTTACGAGATCGTCACTGATAACGGCCCCCAGTTCAGATCGAAGAAAATTCAAGCTTTCTGCGACAAGTGAAAGATTCGCCTCAACAAGTCGACACCACGTCATCCGCAAGGAAACGGACAAGCCGAAGCAACCAACAAGACAATCCTGGACGGCATTAAGAAGTGTCTCAATGCCAAGAAAGGTTTTTGGGCAGATGAACTGGACGGCGTGCTTTGGTCTCATCGCACAACTCCGAGAACTGCAACCGGGAAAACTCCTTTTTCACTCGCATACGGATGCGAAGCTATGGTTCCTGCGGAGATCAACGTCGAAAGTCTACGAAGAAGAGTACTCCCGAGTATTCCCGAAGTAAACGCAACAATGTTGGTCGATAATATCGACACATTCGAGGAAACACGCAACCAAGCATTGCTCCAAATGCAGAACTACCAGAATCAGGCAGCTTGGTACTACAACAAAAAAGTACATAATCGACATTTCGATAAAGGCGACCTGGTCTTTCGAAAAGTCTACGAGAACACAAAAGAAGAGAATGCCAGGAAACTTGGCGTAAACTGGGAAGGTCCATACATCATCACTAACGTAGTGAAACCAGGAGTTTACCGGCTCGAAGCCTTGGACGGCGAGCTGATTCCACGAGCCTGGAACTCACTCAACCTCAAAAGATACTACAGTTAGATTGGCACCTCCTCGAGGTCGGCATCGTCAAAAAAAAAAAGGGGAATAGTCCTTATGAACTACGAAGCGGTTTGATCCCCGAAAGGGGTACGTAGACAACCTATCCTCGGATGGTGCAACTGCTCCCCCTCCCAGGAGGGGGGGGGGGGGGGGGACTCAATATTTCTTTTAATCTTCAAGTCGTCTTCGGTTTGTAAGTCTTTGATTCAATAAAGTCATTTACTAAAAATAGTGTTCATTATCATATCGGCATCCTGGCCAGATGCTCGATCCGCTTAAAACTAGAGTCTGATCCACTTTAGCTCGGCAACTTAAAGCCAAGTCTGCCTTGCATTCTACAGTTTTACCTGTTTTCCTATATCCGAGCCATGCGTTGTTATCAGCCAAGTCAGTCTTGCATCCGCATTCGACTCGGATACTTCTAAGTGGTACCGATGAATCAATGCCGACCTGAATCGCACATCGGGTATTCACACTTAGAAGCAAAGTGGTACGAACAATCATAAGCCGGGTCTCCCGCACGTTCGTATTCACACTCTAGTATATAAGCCAGGATCCGCACTGTAATTCTTAAGCCATGCGGAATATGTAAGCCGACCTGATCGCAGTTCGTATTCGACTTAAGAAATTTTCTAAGTATCGAATTCATGCCTATCTAATTCGTTTGTTTGTTTAATACTTAGAAATTTAAATCGCACAAACTTAAACCGATACCACATCGCCGTTGTGTCCAGATTTTCAACTCATAAAAATGCTAAGTTTCTTAAAAACTTTCATTTAAATAAAAGCCAGAACGGCACAAATACATCAGGGAACACGATAGATTACAAACAAGAAAAAGGGAAAAAACTAAACTTCAGTTTCTTTCTGAATTTCTCCCTCTTCCTTGTCGGCCTCGTGACCGTCTCCCAGCTCGGTGTCTTCGCCTTCTCTTGCATGTCACCCATCTTCTATGCCGTTCCTATCGGCTTCTGGGTCATCTTCCACGTCGGCTCCCTCTAACAAAACACCACTCGAAACCTCGAGAAAAATCTCCGGCTCGGGAACTTTAAGCTCATCAGACGTGAAGCTAACTTCTTCAAAGGCATCCTGCTCTGCCTTGCTATCCGCAACCATTTTCTCCACATTTTTCTCGATCGAAGTCGGGAAAGAGTAACCCTGCCTACAGACGATTTCAAGGGCCCTTTTTGCATCGGCCCATTGAGCCGCAGTTGAAATAAGCTCTTCGCTTTTCTCCTTGCGAGATAGCGATTCCTTCACCTTCGTCACCAGGCCGACATAGTGGTTATTCACAGCAACAGCCACGCGTTTAGCCGCCTCTTGACCGAAGGCAAATTTTGCTTCTTCAGCCACTCTGCGCTCGGCCTCAAACTTCTTCTCGGTGTCGGCCCTCTCCTTTGTAATCTGCTTCGCCGCTCGGTTCAGCAGCCTGTTCTTCTCGACGTTATCAGCACGGAGTTTCGCCAAATCTTCAGCAGATGCCCGTATCGCGCCTTCGAGCTCGGCGTTCTTTTGTTTTTCAGCCTTAAGGGCCTCCTTCACGGCTTCGATCTCCGTATGATCGGATTGACATCTATTGGCGTCACAATCGTACTCGCATAACGTCGTCAGTGCGGTATTCAGAGCCTGCATTCGTAAATCTCATCATCAGAACCGATAATATGTAAGGGAAACAGAAGAGAGCAGTAAGAGAAATTTATCCTAGTCTGATCGTTAGCGAAGCGCGCGATTGTCTCGCTGCGAATAAAACTCTGAGGGTCCGTCGCAGGAAAATCCGGATGATCCTTCAAACGGAGAAAATAGTCGAGACAGGATTCTGAATCGCTCACTAATGGACTATTCCCTCGATAGTCATAAAAAAATCCAAACCGATGAAGCTGTCGATCAATCTGAGGTCTCTTTGCTCACCAATGGACTTTGTGTTCAGACAACCAGACCGAATCTAATCTGAACTGGAACTACGGTGGAGGCAAAGTCAACGGAAAGAAACAAGTACTAGTATAAAGTCAGAATGTCAAATAAAACCCCCTTTTCCAATCTTTACCCCTAAAACGACGATTCTCCTGAAACCCTAATTTTCCAAAAACCAATCCGATCTGAGAAGCTATGGACGCCATCGATTCCGCAATCGACCCACTCAGAGATTTCGCTAAGAGCAGTGTCCGTCTCGTCCAGCGTTGTCACAAGCCCGATCGCAAGGGTACGCTAATTTGAATCCCGAATATGTTTGGAGGAATGTGTTGCGGTTTGTTAGATTCGTAATGTTTATCTTAGATCTGGAGCTTTTTAATTCCTAAATTTCGTAATTTGATTGTGGTTTTTCAGAATTCACCAAGGTTGCTGTTCGTACGGCGATTGGATTTGTGGTGATGGGATTCGTTGGGTTCTTCGTGAAGCTCGTTTTCATCCCAATCAACAACATCATCGTTGGAACTTCTTAGGAATACTTTTTTTACAAGGTTGACTCCTATCTTCTTTACGCATTGATGATTTTTCTGAAGTTTGCGAATAATAGTCAAAATGTGACAATAATAGGTCTCGCGTTATTTCTTGAAAGATAAGACATTGAATCAATTGTTGTGGCCATTTCTTGATAGTTCCTTGACTAGACAAACATTCTTGGTTCACGCTTAAGGATCTGTAATCATATTGGTGGACTAGATATAAGTTGCTGTTATGTAGTAGACTTGGGAATTGAGGATGATCTCAGCTGGTTCTTAGCTTCTTGCCTCAAAATATTAGAGCTTTACTTGTCTCTATTGTTTCTGCCATCGCCACGCTTCGATCTCCTTGTCTCTTAGCCCTCTATTTGTTGTCCCGTGAGAGTTTCGTTTGTTTCTGATACCTTTCTCTGCTATGTCATGGTGTCTCTATTCCCACTCTATTTGATTCTGTTGTTAACGAGGGTCATCATCATCTTTCTTACTTTGCGGAGCTTTGACCCATATTATAAGTCATAGTTACTAAACTTTGATTTGTACAGGCAATGCGCGGAGGAGTAGGAGAAGAAGAAGAAGGAAAGAGACTGCAAAAGCTGTTCTGTCTTCTCTGTTTTTGTAGGTCACATTTTCTCCCTTGTGGCCAAGTTTTCTGTTCTTGATACATTTTCACATTTCTTTTGCTCTTCTCTTTTGTTATTCCTTGACTTTATAAAATTTTACTTAATCTTGATTTATGTATTCAAAGTATATTGTCCTCAAGAAATCTAAGCCATCAAAACTATATGATTGTGCTATTCCTTGATCCAACTTACAGAGCTAAGATTCAGATCTCACAATCAAGAAACCCAACTTGTGTTTATGAAAAGAAAATAATAAGAACAAAAAACTACTGATAAAAATTTCACATCCACAAATCCTACATTTAGACTATGATCGATGATGAAGTCTCAATCACAAAGTAGAGAGACGAGATTAGATTCTCTCTCTCACATCTATAAATAAAGACAAATTAAATCCCGAGGGTATTTTCGTAATCATAAAACCCTCGCGAGTCTCATTTTTTAAACGATTCAGGTTCACAAGTCTCGTCTCTCTGGTTTTGTTTTCATCTCTCTTGGTTCCTCTTTCTCCCTCAAAGCAATCTAACCATGGCGGCGGCAACAACAACATCTTCTTCGATCTCCTTCTCAGCAAAACCTTCTCATCCTTCATCTTCCAAATCTCCTCTTCCCATTTCCAGATTCTCACTTCCATTCGCCTTAAATCCACAGAAACCCACCTCCCGCCGCCGCCGCCCTCTCTCCTGCTCCGCCTCTCTCAACACACCCGTCAATGTCGCAGCTCCTCCTCCGGCGAAAACCACCACCGACAAGAAATTCACCTCCCGCTACGCCGCCGACGAGCCTCGCAAGGGTGCTGATATCCTCGTGGAAGCCCTCGAGCGTCAAGGAGTCGAGACCGTCTTCGCTTACCCAGGAGGCGCATCGATGGAGATCCACCAAGCCCTAACCCGATCCTCCACCATCCGCAACGTCCTCCCTCGCCACGAGCAAGGAGGCATCTTCGCCGCCGAGGGGTACGCTCGATCCTCCGGGAAACCGGGAATCTGCATAGCCACTTCCGGTCCCGGAGCAACGAACCTCGTCAGCGGATTAGCCGACGCGATGCTCGACAGTGTCCCTCTCGTGGCGATCACAGGACAGGTCCCTCGCCGGATGATTGGTACCGACGCGTTCCAGGAGACTCCGATTGTCGAGGTAACGAGATCGATCACGAAGCATAACTATCTGGTGATGGATGTTGAGGATATACCTAGGATCGTTGAGGAAGCATTCTTTCTAGCTACTTCGGGTAGACCCGGACCCGTTTTGGTTGATGTCCCTAAGGATATTCAGCAGCAGCTCGCGATTCCTAACTGGGAACAGTCTATGCGTTTGCCTGGTTACATGTCTAGGATGCCTAAACCGCCGGAAAGTTCTCATCTTGAGCAGATTGTTAGGTTGGTTTCGGAGTCCAAGAGGCCCGTGTTGTATGTTGGTGGTGGATGTTTGAATTCGAGCGAGGAACTGGGTAGATTCGTGGAGCTTACCGGGATCCCTGTTGCGAGTACTTTGATGGGTCTTGGTTCTTATCCTTGTAACGATGAGTTATCGCTGCATATGCTTGGGATGCACGGGACCGTGTACGCGAACTACGCTGTTGAGCATAGCGATCTGTTGCTGGCGTTTGGTGTTAGGTTCGATGATCGTGTCACCGGAAAGCTCGAGGCTTTTGCTAGCAGGGCTAAGATTGTTCACATAGACATTGACTCTGCTGAGATTGGGAAGAACAAGACGCCTCATGTGTCTGTGTGTGGAGATGTAAAGCTGGCTCTGCAAGGGATGAACAAGGTTCTTGAGAGCAAAGCAGAGGAGCTCAAGCTCGATTTCGGGGTTTGGAGGAGTGAGCTGAACGAGCAGAAACAGAAGTTCCCGTTGAGCTTCAAGACGTTCGGGGATGCTATTCCTCCGCAGTACGCGATTCAGGTCCTCGACGAGCTGACCGACGGGAAGGCGATTATCAGTACCGGCGTCGGGCAGCATCAGATGTGGGCAGCTCAGTTTTACAAGTACAGGAAACCGAGGCAGTGGCTTTCCTCGGGAGGTCTCGGAGCAATGGGTTTTGGGCTGCCCGCTGCTATTGGAGCGTCTGTGGCGAACCCGGACGCGATTGTTGTTGACATTGACGGCGATGGGAGCTTTATAATGAACGTTCAAGAGCTCGCCACGATCCGTGTAGAGAACCTTCCGGTGAAGATACTCTTGTTAAACAACCAGCATCTTGGCATGGTTATGCAGTGGGAAGATCGGTTCTACAAAGCTAACAGGGCTCACACGTATCTTGGTGACCCGGCGAATGAGAACGAGATATTCCCGAACATGCTGCAGTTTGCAGGTGCTTGCGGGATTCCGGCGGCGAGAGTGACGAGGAAAGAACATCTCCGAGAGGCTATTCAGACGATGCTGGATACACCTGGACCGTACTTGTTGGATGTGATATGTCCGCACCAAGAACATGTGTTACCGATGATCCCAAGTGGTGGCACTTTCAATGATGTCATAACGGAAGGAGATGGTCGGACTAAATACTGAGAGATGAGAACTGTGGTTATTATCAGAACTTTGTTGCGGTCTTGTTGCATATGGTAAAAAAAACTTAGATGCAATTTCGAGTTTTTTTTTTTTGTTTTGTTTGGTAATTTGAGTTTCTTAGTTGTTGAACTGCTTTTTGGTTTACCCCAGAGTATTGTTGTTTTTGTTTCCTTCATATATATAAATAAACCGGTTCGGTTTAGTTGCTGTGAATGGCTCTGTTTGTAGTGACAAAAAGTAGAAAACTGACTAATTGAAATTGGAAGTTGTAATTCTCATAGTTCTGTTTTTGCCCGTACCAATTGGGTTTGATTGGCATTTTCAATAATTTGGGATTAGATTAGGATTTTAATGAAAAGGAAGCCCAGTTTCACTAATAAGTAATTATCTGAGCCGTTATTAATTACCAACAAAAAATGTCATGGTTCGGCATTATGAAAGATACCCCGTTTTGTCCATGTTTCGAGTTGGTATGGGAATCAGAGAAACTAAAATCTAGTTTGATATGCGTTTGGTTCGATTTCAACTTTTTAAAAATAATTATGTTTAATTAAAAATTAATTTAAGTAAAGACAAGAATAAACGAAATTCCATTTTTCTGATTTAGTTATTTCACCACTACAAAACCCAATCCAATGTATAAAAAGCCTAAAACATCGGCTAAGAAAAGTAGCTAAAAACATAGAGAGAACTCTTATTTTGTTAGAATGTATGGAAATATACTAAATTAGGTATTATATGAATTTTTCTGATTTAGGATTCACATGATCCGAAAAAGAACCCAGAAGCACTAATCAGACATTGGAAGTAGGAAAAAAATCCAAAAGGTCTTTTTTTGTTGATGTAAAGTGACAAGCATTTTTTTGTTCGAACTAAAATAATAATAAAGATATAATTTACAATTAACTCTAGTTTTAATTCTTCAATAAACAGAGAAATCAATAATTATTTTAAAATTTTATTTTCATTTCTTTTTTTCAGCATGAGGTTATGATGGCAGGATGTGGATATCTTTTTCCCCTTTAATAGCTTTTTCAATAATCTATTCTAATAAATGAGTTTTTAAAAATTATTATAGTTATTGTAATTTGCAACTAATCATTGATTTAAAGTCAGTTCTATAAGTTTTATAATCTTCAGGATTTAAAAATTTAATATTGCTTTTAGGAATTCATGTGTGTGGATCCTAAAATCTTTGTTGTTTATTTTGAATTTTGTTTCTAATGTTACTCATAAAACTCCAATACAATTCAATTCAAATGACTTTTGACTTTATATACAAAGATTTTAAAGGTCATTTAATTGTGAATAACATTATATTTTAGTGCAGTATTTAAAAATTTAAGTGAATAACTCCATACTTTAAGATCTATTAAGCATGGTTTATAAATAAGAGATTCAATAACACTGGATTTTAAAACATAATTTAAAATCATTAATTAAATAACATTGGATAGTGAATCAACTTAAATTCTGTTAAATCCATGATTGAATAACATCCCCAACACTTTAAAAAAAAAAAAAAAAACTATAAACCTTTTGGGTGATCAACTATGTGCGCCAATATATCTCAAATGTCTTTAACAAATATCTCAAATATAATGCTTTGATGCTCTCTTTGTTCAATGGTTAGTCACATTGACCATCCAAACGAACAAACTTCAAACTGCATAAGTCTAACTTTAATCGAAACTACATACTCAGAATGTATACGAATAAACCGATACTCAGAATGTAAACGAATAAACCAAATACAAAAAATTAAGAAAAGTAGCTCCAAAATAATCATAAAAAATATGACACTTATGTTACTTTCAATTTTACATGTAAGATCAGGATCAACCTTTATTTTCATAGCACGTTCAAAAAAAAATCTATAATATAACAACCACTCATATTAATTATACACTAGGATCCATATATGCCTTATATAATGTTGAATCTTTAATTTTGTAATTGATGAGTTTTTCAAAGAGTGAGACTCTTTTACCTTTTTCAGACATTAAAAGTAAGACTATCACTTTCTCTCTTGTTTACTTTTGGCCCATTTATATATACAAAATAAAATCTCTTGACTTGCGATTTTCTTTTTCTTCTTTCACTTTCTCTTTCTTTTTGTCAATGAGAAAATAATATTTAAGATAAATGTAGATATACTTTATATTATATATACTTCTGTCTACTTGGGCCATTTATATAGTACTGTATATACTATCATTGTCCTCAATATACTTGCACATCAATGAAATTGTACTCCCATATGGATATCTTCCGTGCAAATATTGAAATGTTTGCTTTGTAATTTTATGTATCCGAGACTTAGTTTTGGTAAAAAATATTATTTATAAAAAGGGCATGTTTTGGTAATTTTATGTATCCGAAACTTTTCATATGAATTTGAGAATCGCCAATCGGTAAGAAAATCGATCATGAACTTAGTCTGTAAAACAAAACAATTATACCTCAATTAATAATGGTAGAGTTTCCAGGACTACCTTAGATGTAGCCTATTTTTGTTTTTTGATTAATAATGGTAAAATGAAACTCTTTTAATTGTTATGGTAAGTTAGAATTAAGTATTAACATCGAGGAGTTTTTGGTCGAAGTTTATAAGTATTTCTGTCTAAATTTCGTGATTTTTAAAAATCGAATTATAAAAAAAGAACTATGGGTTCAGCCTAAGGATCATTCTCATGTGAAGAAATACATCAAAACGTCCTTTAAACGAAGATGTTAGTTAATAAAATATGGTTGTGGAACAAGAAAGTGGTCGAAAACCACAAGAGATAGTGAAGACTCCCTGGCTGTACATACGTCATTTTAAAATAAATGTCTTACGCTTTACACTTGTGCTAGTTTGAATACGAAAACATAAAAATGGTGTTAAAAATATTCCAACTATCTCATGCTAAATTTTTATTTACAAGAACTTTAACTTTATAAGGGTTTTTTCATAAGGTTTTATCCAATTTGTTTTTAAAAATTCATGTCACTTCATCTCTTTACCCAATCGCTGAGATTCCTTCACAAATCCCAATGTGAACATCATATAATTGTCTTTTCTCATTACCCGGTAATTATTTACGTCATGGTATCATATTTAACATAAACAAATTATTCTAAAAAATAAAGACAAGAAGCAAAAATATTAAAATAAATTAATTCATAATTGTGTTATCATTGAAAACACTTACACAAATTAAACTGTTTTATAAACTAAAATCTATCTTATTTACAATGTAAATATCTAACTATCACGATAATCTCTTTCTCACTTTTTACAATTTTCATATATGTGTTATTATATAACTTAAGTTAGTCTAAAATACTTTTATAAACGAAAACGTTGTTACAAATTACTTAAAATTAGTCTGTTTGGTTCTACTTTACTTATAGTATAAATTATTATTGCTTTGAGAATGCCAGAACCTTGAATACAAATAAATAAAGAATAAGAATGCATGCATAAGGAAGAAAACCAAATCATACTATTACTAGGTTTTAGTAGTGTGAAACTGTTTACAAGATGTAGAAATGTATAATTGTAAAATATTTGGCTATTTAGTGAAATATATGTAAATTAGATATGAGGTAGAGATGGATCACATGATGAGAGTAACTTCCATCATCCATTGTCCCCTCTTCCTTCCCTAACACTGTCTTTTCATTCCCTTCCATTCTAAGGGCATTGTCACTTTCTCTTTTAAATCCAACCAACTTGGCCTCTTCTTCTTGTTTTATTTTTTCCCAATTATTAGAAGTAATTAAACATTCATTTATATGCAACTATTAATAGCTAATTTATCAAATATCTAATTTTCTTCATTAGCTAAAAATTGCGGAAACAAAGGTTCATATCTGCGTGTTGTAAGATAAGTTTTTTTTATTCCAATGCACACTTAGGAGTCCTACTAACTAAATTAAAAAAAAGGTATTAATTGAACATTAGGAATATCCAAAATTTGAAAATTTCTCTTTAAAACTTGATTTTCCAGAAGGTGGGAGATAAAGAGATATATATACATGCACAATAATGAAGCTAACTTGTGTAAGGACCACAAAAATATATGGCCACCGAAGCTAAAACAAATCTCTGTCATAAGGATATAAACTATAAGAGACAACACTTCTTATTAATAAATAGTTTATATTTTAGAAAAGAATTAGATTGAGATTTAATATATTTTTAGGAAAAAAATCTAACAAGAGGGGACAAGCAAAGATCCATCCCACATGGGATTCAGAAAATATATAAATTGGTGAAAAAGCTGAACAAAGGAAAACAACATTTGGAAAATGATGGCTCTCTTTGATCTCTTTCTCTCTCACAAACACCAGTATGATTGATTTTACATGTACATTACAAAATGTATGTAGAAATATACACTGACTGATGATGATGATGTTGTTTCAAAAATAAAATACACTGTTGATACACATCCATATCTATACATTTATATATATATATATATATGCTATGTATATTATAAAAAATGTTATGTATAAAGACAAATGTGAAAAGACAAATGTTAAGGTTGTGTCACAATGGGCAAGATTGCTATGTTTTGATGTATCTCATCAATTTCCATTATCTTCCAATTTTTCAGACACATCTCTTTCCTTCTGGTGAATTCAACGTTGTGATTATACATTTCCTTCTTTTTTTTTGTATGTACGTAGAGACACACTCATATACACGTACGTTTCCGTGACTGTAATATATGTATCTTGTATATACACACTCAATTTACTAAACTAATTGATTATGTACCGCATATACATTGGTTTCAGAATATTTGATTAAGAATATTAGTATATTTCGACTGAGCATACAAAACAAATGATGTAGATGTATTTTAGTTATCTAGGACAGTAAACGAAAACGTTATCTAGGATTACTTTGTATTCCTAAGAATAAGTAATTATTAATGAATCGAAACTATATATAGTCAAGAATATAAATAAAAATATTAATTAAATAAAAATAAATACTTTAATTGGGTGGGATGATGAGGGATATATTCCTAATGTTGAAAAAAAAATAGATAATTTGCATGATGAAGACATTGGGTGATTTGAGGAAACGATTTCGATTAAATTCAACCAAGTTCTTAAAAAACAAAAAAACTTTAAGTTGCTAATGAACCAAAATAATTAATCATAAATCTTTTGACCAGCGTATATTATAACTATTTTGAAGCATATCAAGAAGAGGTTAGAAGGCATAATTGGGTGATATTGGATAATGAGGGTAGAGAAGTGATGTTTGTAAGCACTAAGAAACAATATTTGGATTTAAAATCTGATAAACAAAATATATATTTTGGAGTTTGTGTATAGAGAAAAGTCTAAGAAGAAGAAGTTGAAAACAAGTGGATACTCCGACTCCTTCCCACCCCTTGTTGTCTTCGTAATTCTCTCATCAATTATTCATCTCTTTTTTTTTCTTGATAAACCGATCGATTGCGGTTTTTTGTTTTGATCCATTTGCTTCTATCTTTCATTATCCAAGGTTCCTTTCATCAAAAATACTAGTCATAGCCCCACCGGTTTTACTCCATATTGCTACTGTTTATGTAAAATATGTAATTGTTGTCCAATATGATATATATGAGCTTTTTTGTTGACTAATTAATGATTATAACAAATACTTGATCGCAGTCGAAATCATATAATTTCCATTTATTGTCTTATATTATGATCTCTGCCAACCCTCTCCCATTTTTATCTTCAATAGAATTTACAAACAAACAAAAATATTTCCCCTAATATATTCTTTAGTAACCAAAATATATTTCATTACTATTCTCTCCTATTTATTCTTTTACTTGCAGCATCGTGGACGAATGTTTTTTTTTTTTTGGACCTCCGCTGTTTTTAGTTATCAATATATTTATCTTCTTTTTGTATTAAATCAAAAATTTCAACATACAAAATGCCTATTTTCTACAAAAAATTGTTCATAAAATTAAATATCTAAAAGCAGTTGCATCATTTTATACTTTGCTTGGACTTAACACAACTAGTCGTTGATGATATATACATCATACATGCAGGTATAACAAGTATACAGAATTATCTAGACCTTAGCTTCTGATCTGTTTTCTATATATCTCTAGTTATGGGAAGAGATCAATCTCCCGAATATAACAAACTTATTTGGCTATATATTTATTCATCACTATATATCTACTTGTATCAGTATTTATAAAGGTTTTTTTACTTTGCAGTATTTTTGTAAAAATAATGTGTTTTATTTAGATGTATGCATCAATTGTCTGAAATAAACTATTTTTTTTTTGCTCGAACCTGAATCCGATACACGTCACTTTCTAACTAGTTGAACTACAAAACTGATCTTAAGAAATCACTTTCCGCAAAAAGAAAATCACTAAGAGGATGCAACTTCACACGCATGTAACTTTGTATGAATAGTACTGCATGAAGTGCTACGCATAATTGATGTATATAATTATATATATTTGGCATTAGACAGTACCCCAAAAACATCTATAATAAATTAGTAAGTACATGTACGTGTGTTCTTATACACGCGTGTGAATAGGTAAGGAGTTTCTAAAAAGAAATTTTAAACAGAAATCCTCATGGTGACAAGAAAAATAAAAGATAAGAGATCTGTATTTACATCCAAAGAGCAACAAAGAAGCTCTCTAGGGTTTCCTGGAATTTATTTTCAGCATTTTATTGTTTAGCATACACGCACCGTTTAGATATCACTTTAGATTTTCTCTTTGCATAAGAGTTTGGTACTTCACAGTTCTTACTTACGTTGAGGAATTAATTTCGTAAAAAAACATTATAGCTTTTGCAGTGTAAAAAATAAAACTTTTCTCCAAAATAGTAACGAGAAAATCAAACGAAGTTAAATTATATCGGTAAATAAACGAATCTCAAAACTATATGAAATTACTGTATTATCTAAGTTTTTTTAACTACTAGCTATACTAAAACAGCTGGATTATTCCAATACGTGTTTGTTTCCACAACAATTTATGTTATCAAATATACAGAAAAAACTTATTAGTTTTATGTAAATGTACGTACGTAAGCACAAACATACAATCATAAAAAAATGTTTTGTTAAAGCACAAAAACAATAATCTATGTATATATATATATATATATATATATATACCTGTTAAAATCGACATAACAAATTAAAGTAGATGAAATAATGAGCATGGTAATGTAATAATTATACCCATCATCTCCATGCATATGTATGTACGTGGGTGTTTGATTATTTGTTTTCAGAAAGATTATCATCAAATTTCAAAGGAGGAATACAACAAATAAAATGAACCATGCATATGTCAGCCAATTATATTCAAATCATGCAAATCGTCCGTTCTTTTTCTAGTTTCCACGTTCCTTTATTATGAATAATACCATCATAATTCGATTTTAATACTCCGTAATTATATAGCTGATCGTTGCGGAATTGACATGGTCAATATAGATACCGTAACTAATTTGAATTTTAGTCCATTATTCCAATTATCCATCAAACTCCGAAGTACCATTGAAGGTTTCTAATTTATGTAATTATTAATTCATGAAAACTAAGAGAATTTTGTTGGATAAAGAAGAGGAAGTAAAGTAGCTAGAAAATAAATCATTTCTGATCTGATAGTGTACCTTCAATTTCAAGAAAACAAAAAGAAGGACCTAATATATTACCAAACTCGAAAATGAAAACAAACTGAATTTAACCACAAAATATGATTTAAACAAAAGAATGGCTTCATTTCTTTCTCTTCTTTTGTTCAAATTATTATCTCAAACTAATTAAACCAATATTGTGCTTTTCTTCTCAATTTTCCATTTATAATAATAACAATAATCAAAGATAAAACAATTGAATACTTGAAATTAAGGCCTAAACCTTTGCCTGCAAGAGTGGCAAGTGATCTCCAAGCAACTCGTATCTATCTTCTTCATTGATCTCTCCTTCAACCTCTCCGCTCTCTCCACCTCCTCCCTTGCCTTCTGCCACATCACCCTTTTGGTTTCCAACTCAAAACCGTTAACCAAACTGAACCCAACCAAACCAAATCGGAATTACTTATCAACTGAAACTCGCTTACCTTGCACGAGCGAACTCAGATTGAGCCATCTCCATTTCACGGCGAGTTAACTCTCTAACTCTCTCGGCGTAAGCCTTCTCTATCGCCGCAAGTCTTATCTGCTCCGCCGCCTGCCACTTCAGCGCCTCGACACCTCCTCCGTCGCCACCGCTTGGATGCTCCACAGTCGCCGTTGGGATTGTGCTGAGGCTGATGGAGAGTTTAAGGTCGAGATCGTGGTGGATCATGGAAGAGGAATGGTGGTGATCGGTTGTTATAACTGTTGATCGGAGTTTTCTCAAGGGAGATTCCGTTGACGGTGGAGAAGGTAAAAGCTGAAGCTCTTTGTGATGATCTTGTTGTTGTTCAGCCATTTCTTGGTTTTGTTTTTTGTTGGGACTAAAAAGGCTGCAGTTTTCAATAAGTGGGGGTAGCAATTACCAATCACTTTATATGTAAGCTGCTTCGTGTCTGTGCACATATATATCTACATGAAATTACGGTTGTATCCCCCAAGTTCAGCCAGTTATCTCCACATGAAGTAACTATTATATCACTTCATGTTAGAGAATTCACCAAATTGCGATTTTCACTAATTCCACATAACTAATACAAACTTATATTTTTAGCTATTCACCCCCATGCATGCTTCAGCCAAATTATAGTTATCAATTCAGGATTTTACATCAAGCCCTTTGTCAAAAAAATTAGCATTTGCCTCCCTTATATATTTTATACTGAATATGTCGATAACCCTCTAACAAACGACCATCGTACCGTCATTATGTGAATTTTTTGTCAAGTGTGGTTCCACTGATTATTTCGATTGACAAGACGAAATGATTTGATTGTACCACAATTAGGATTTTACTTTTATAAATACTTTTTTAATTCTGTGAGTTAATTTTTTGACAATATTCAGAAGAATTCAAAATATAAACGAATCGTTATATAAAATTTTATGGCGTCAAAGATAGTTAGTTGTCCAACATTACCACCATGATCCTCATCTAAGTTGATGTTTATTATGTATACACTCGTAAGTATAATTTATTTGCGATTTGAAACTTACTTCACGTAAGATATAGTTAAATAATGCAGACAACATTTTCTTGAGATTTAAAATAAAGTAGTCACCAAAAACCAAAATTTTGAAGGGTAAAAGCTAATCAAATAGTTAAGCTGTAGAGAAAATCCCCGTTGAAGAAAAGACAGAGAATATGGGATATAACGGATCACGTTATTGAGGCATGAGAGGCTTTTCAAAGAAACCCTTTTTCACTTTTTCATCATCTTTCTCATTTCAAATGTTATTATAACTAATAACTTTGGGTTTATATATAAAGATATGAAAATGAGGATGTGGGTTGTGTAATAATTGGAGATGCACGTGGGTTAATGGGTTCCAAAAGCTATCAAGCTTATTATACTACTACTAATACGAATATTTACGCCATTAAAACAATTTCTTCTCGCAAAAACGATCTTTTTATTTATGTATTATATAAAATTGTATTTTGTATATGTTATTGTTGTTAATAACTGAATTTTATATGATTACAAACAGTTTCTCGATTTCTTTTGTTTACATTTTTCTCTAAAATGTGTCAGAAATTAGAATAGATCTTTATGACACCAAGTTCGTAATCGTTCATCCAAACATTAGTTCTTTGGTGAACCAATTAATCAATGAGCCTTTATAATTAAAAATTTATTTGATTTCGCCTAAACTAAAAAAACAGTTAAAATCAATGACTCAGTAATAATTTACAACTCATCTAATAAATATAGCCAATCAATCATGAAATTCAGATATTATTTAGTCTAAACTTATAATTTTCTTGGATTTTTTTGACACTAAGAACGTGTTAATGTCGGATCATGGTTTGGTAAACTAATTAGTTACTCCTTCTAGTTCAAATATCTAACTATTCTTCGTTGCCTAGATGACCATTTTGGTATTTAAATTCGAGACATTTCTGACTCTCCTTTTTTTAGATAGTTAGATAAAATGTTGGTTATAAAATTATAAAGGTTTACATTTTAAAACTCAACTCTTGTTAGCTGTGGTAATTTTCTGCCGCGAAAAAGCGCAAAATTCTTAAATTGATCAGTTAAACTATTAAAACAAATTATATAGATCAATAGATATAGCTAATCGTTTAATTAAAAGAGGACACAATTTTTGTGCAAGCTACGTCCAGTTCTACCAATGAAAGACCTTGATCTAAGGTTATGTGTCGATATAAATGACAATCCTATTAATTTCTTTCCAATGCCTCAACACATGCTTCCACAAAGTAGCACTGAAACTCTTTCTTACTTCCACCAAGCGCAGAAACTTCAAAACCTCTCGCCAACTGGCCTCTGGTGTCATGGGACCAAATAACTTCTTAATCATAAACTCTTTTTGTTTCAATATTTCAGCAGCCATTAGCACCATTGAATTTAAACCTCTCACTAGCAATAACGATGAAAGCATTGGGACATTGATCCGCCATTGTCTTAACACATGATTTCACCAAACTTGTGATGGCAACAAAAGAATCTGCTAATATATTTTGGGCTTCATGCACACAAACCACTATGACGACAACAACCTTATGTTATAGAGCTTTCTTCAAGGGACTGAGGTCTGCAAGGTCATAGCAGGCATTGAGATGCTTAAGCTGCAATGTTGCAGAAGTTAAGGCTTGACACCAACTGACATTGTTTGAGGGAATTTGCTAATGTGGAGCCAATTCCAAGAGATCCAATCACAGTGACTCTAAATAAGTCATTGATCTTTTGTGGTCCACTTTCAGAGTATTGTGTCTTCTCTGAATCTCTTGCACCAAATAGAAAGAGAGATGATTTGAGTACAAACTCAATCCCGACTCGTCTTTTTTAGATAGATAGATAAAATGTTGATTATAAAATTAGGTTTAAATGTATACTCAACTCTTTCATATTGTTAGCTGCCGTAATTTTCTACTGTGAAAAAGTATACAATTCTTAAATCAATCTGTTAAACTATTAAAACATATTATATGAACCGATAGATCTAGCTAATTGCTTAATTTTTTGTGCAAGAGACTTGCTGTAGAATCAGTTATACCAATGAAAGACTTTGATATCTAAGCTAAAGGTTGCCATTTTCTTCTCATTCCACAAGCTCTAAATATTTGGAGAGATTATGCTAAAGAGAAATTCAGAGTCTTATTTGATAATGCTTGATGTGTTAGAAACACGTATGGTTTAGCAACGCAATGACCTAAATGGAAATGGTAAGAATGATATATCTAATTGGTTAGTAGGGTATTGACATTAAATCGTATAGAACTACAACTCTATATACAAGTCGTATGGAATGAAATTGCATGATGATTATGTTTGAATGAAGAATGGTATAATAGGTATGTGATGCGTATGGTTTGAATACCTCAATGGATAGACATATATATATATATAAATATAAAGAAAACGTGATGTTGATATAGTTAATAAAAATATATGTGAGAAAGAAGATAATATAACTTTGGTTCTGAAACAATTACAAACAATTTTCCGAATTTACCTTTCCTCATTTTTCTCTAAATTGTGTTTTGAAATCCAGGCCTTATAAAATCATAATTTTTTTGGTTAGTTAATCAAAAAAAAGAGTTTAAACCAATTAAACATAATTACACAACTCGACCAGTATCAAGTGAGAAATTGCGAGCCTAAACCATAATTTCTTATAGTTTCCCGCTACATTTGGTCAGTTGATAAGGGAACAGAGAAGGATTCCCGCGAACTCGTATCTCGCCAAAAGCAAAGATTCTTCATTGATGATTTCGTAATAGACTTGAAGCTCAATGAACTCTCGAGACCTTGCTCTCGTCTCTACATCTGCAGTTTTCGGCGCTTTGATTTCAGCTCTCGCATTTCGCTTCTTCTCATCAAACCCTAAATCCCGAAGAGTTCATTCCACGGAAATCGCCGCAATTTCCAGAAGATTCCCGGGTCTAGATCCTTTCAGTCCTCTAAAGAGAAAAGGGTTTGTCGTATCTCTCTTTAAATTCATCGAATTGACACTAATCTCGCTGTTTCTTCGAGCTCACAGTCCGAGAAAATCACTGTTCTAGTGTAAATCTTCCAACTTTGAGAAAATCAGGTGTTCACCTTCACTTCGGGAATTCTGTGGAGTAGAAAATTAGGATAAAATAGCTGGAATCTGTTGAATTTGGTGACGAATATGGTGGTAGACTTTGCTTCGCTCTAATGTAGAATTTGTTTTGATTGATGTTGTGAAAGGTACTTATCGTGGGATGATTATTTCATGGCGATTGCATTCCTGTCAGCAGAAAGATCAAAGGATCCAAACAGGCAGGTAAACTTTGTTGCTGTTGGGATGATACTCATTTTATGATGAACAGCGCAAATGAGTATTCAAACAGTCCTTGAAGTTTTTTGTAAGTTTTCAATTGAGATCTGCTTAGGTAGCTCCTAGACATAAAGAGGGTTGATGAGAATATGTTTGATTTAGTGGAAGTTTTCAGTTAAGTTCACAGCCATAGGTGAAAAATCATCTTTAACTGGATGTGATGAATGCATCTGAAGTGAAGTTTTAAATCTAATGCTGCCTTTATTGTTTTGATGTCTAGTACGTTTAGAGTGGACTTTAAGGTCTAAAAGCTTAGAAACTTGAACCTAAGACTTGGACTCAGGGTTCACAAATTCGAGATTAGATTATTCCTTTTTGTGACAAATTTATATCCGGTTAGAGTATATATTATGGACTTTAAGGTCTAAAAGCTTTCCCGTTCTTATGCTTCTGCAGGTTGGTGCGTGTTTGGTGAGCCAGAATGGTGTAATTCTTGGTAAGATGATTGGATCACACTTTGTCTTTTGATATCTTTTTCGGACAAATTTGAAAAAATGAGTTCTGTAGGGGTCGACATAGATGAATAAAGAACCTTTTGTTTCTCATTTTAGGGATTGGCTATAATGGTTTTCCAAGAGGTTGCTCGGATGACAGACTTCCTTGGGCCAAGGTAGTACTATTCCTACATTCCCTTGAAATCAAAGTAGAAATACGGACTCTGTCATTACAATTCTGATTCTACGGAAGACAAAAATGATGTATTTGCGGTTCCGTTAGACATGTTCTTGATCTTGCTGCTGCCAATTTTCAGAAATCGAAAACTGGGAACCCATTGGAGACAAAGTATCCGTAAGTACTAACCTCAAATGATGCCAACTACAGTATGTTGTAATCCTAATCCGTTTTTGGGTCATTGCTAAGTTGTGTTGTTTCCGTCTTTTTTTGGTTTTTATAGATATGTTTGTCACGCTGAAGTCAATGCCATACTAAACACAAACCACGCATCTGCGGCTGGACAGGTTAGTTTCTTTGAACATTGTTTTGTCACATGGGGTTTCTCAGTTGAGCTAAAAGATCAAAACAGTTTGAATAATTCTATACAACAGCTAATTGGTTGACAATAGAAAGCTGAAGACTCTCTCAGCTGCAAAGAGATTGAAATGAAAAGCCATACGCAGTTTCTGCTCTAAGATATTTGTGTGTGGATAGTTTATTTAAGTATGTTTGTGTTCGTAAAATCTTTTGCAGAAGCTTTACGTGACAATGTACCCTTGCAACGAGTGTGCCAAGATTATTATACAGGTTTAACAACTCGGATTGATTTGTCAAATATGGATCTGTAGTAGTGTTATATTGCAACTGTCTTCAGCTAACCGGTTGTTTTGATATATCACCGGTTAAGTTAATGCAAGTAGATCATCACAATCACATTGACTTGCTTCATTTTTGTTTTCTTTGTTGCAGTCTGGTGTTACCGAGGTAATCTATTTTGTGGAAAAGAGACTAAATGACTCAGATATCGCCTACGTAGCTTCTCACAAGCTCTTAGCCATGGCCAACATCAAAGTAATAAGTTCCGGACCTTTCATTACAATCATTTGCTTTGGGAATCTCATTTTGGTATTTAACTGTGTCTGAAACAAATTGTCAGGTTAGGAAACATCAACCAGAGATGGATCAGATCTTGATCAAGTTTGAAGAAGACTTGCTCTGACCGGGGACCTATTTGCACCAATTCAAAATGTAGGGCCAAAACTGAGACTTGAGATCACTGTATTTCAGACATAGATTCACTCAAAGACTCGCTCTTTTCTTCTTTTATTATTTTCTGTTTGAACGTTTATAACACAAATTCAAGAACATTGGCACAAACAGACAGAGAAGCATTACGAACTCAAAAGACAAATTTACACAAGAAAGAGACCATTTTGTTAGACTCGGTAGTTTTCGGGAAGAGGCATAACACCGTCAAAGAAGTCCCCAAAATAGCCAGATGGCTCATGGACGAGTCTCGCGATGATGTCTCTTAGAGTGATGAGTCCTTCGAGGTTACCTGAATCATCAACCACATATATCCTATGGATCTTCTCAGCGTCTAGCATCAAGATCAGTTCCTTAAGCGTATGGTTCTTAGTGCAAGCGATGATACCACTCATCATAGGTGCTGATGTATCCCCACGCTTCTCCAGATGCTCTCTCACCGCAACTAAGAAGTTCTTCGTTGTGATTGACCTGAAGAAAAAGAAGATCAAGAGAAAAGCATTGACGATTGACCATTACCACGAGTAAACTTGGTATATACTATAAGGATTTGTATGTAGTATTAACCTGTAGTCATGGTAGATCTCTGGTGCAGTGAGGAGAAAGTGAACATCTCTAATGCTTATGTTGCCTACTGGCTTCTCACTTTTCCTTTCAACGACGGGTATGCCTCCGATTCTCTTTCTCCTCATCAGCTTGAACGCCTGAAGAACCGGTTCATCCTCATAGATCTGAGACAACGAATGATAATTCTGTCAGAAGAAGAACTACTCAATGGAGCTATGAGAAAAGATTACACACTGACCTTTATGATATGATCCTTTGACATATTGGGAAGACCGACTTCAGAGAGAGTTTTGAGTCCCCAGTCCTCGAACCAGTGAAGCCCTGCGCATTCTGCAAGCATATGGATAACTCCTGACTGTGTGATGATGTTCTCGATCTTTGCTTCACCTAAATCAACCACAGGGATGCTCTTCATTTTGTACTTGGAGAGAAGCAACAGCATTGTTAAAAATGAGTTCTCTTTCTGCAGAGCCAGGAACGGTGCCCATCGGAATGTTCCAGAGATATCTCGAACCTGTCATAGTGAAATATCAGAAGCCGTACTCAGGACACAAAGTCTATGGAAAAGTGTGAAACTTGTGGGGTTATTATTTTCCCTTTAATGAAGATGCAAGCTTCACCTTGGTGTTCTTGTATAACTCTGAAGAAGTAAGGACCTCAAAGAAGTTTCCAGAAGTTACTGCTGAATCTCCGTTATCCAGGACATCGGAGTTGAAATCATGAGAAAATCCATTTGAACCTGCAACAGCAGGGCTCCTTGGAGATGGAGGCTCTAACTGTTTTTTTTACAAAGAAGACAAGTAGAGCAAAGACATGAAGTTTAGTTCACTCGGTAACACAACCTACATGTTTTTGTAAAGAAGACAAGTAGAGCAAAGACATGGGTGCTTGAAAGTAGAGGTTGAAAGGGAACAATGACCTGATGCAAAAGCCAGACGACAATGCCTGGAAACTCCACAATACCGATGTAGCGATCAATCCAGCTGGCGTCTTCAGGCGCGTCAACATCCACAACAGGCGCGCTCAAGACCTTGAATTTCGATAGTGTCTCAACAGCTTCAGCCAAACTTGCGTCTGATCTTATCTCGATGTCTACATAGAGAAACCACAAAGAAAATATAAGCACAAATCTGAGATAGTAGACCAATGCAGATATAATTTCCCAAGTAAAAGAGATACAAGTAACAACAGCTCCTTTCTCTTTTGGTACATTAGATGATCTTTCAAGAATCTACCACAGAAAGAGGACTAAGAAACAAAAACTATCAAGAACTAAAGCAGAGGTTTCTGAATGACACCTAAACCGGACTGACACAAGTATCTGAAACTCTGGAATTGATTCCCAAATTGGTAAATTCTGATCTCAAAATCCACAATCAATATCTATACCTTCCATAGATCAATCAACATCTGTCCATCTCTAAGCCATCAAAGCATATTTCAATCAAGATACGTCTCTACAAACAATTATGGCACAAACTCAATCAAAGCTGATTCAAACACTATGAGACCCATACAAAATTTACCAACTTCAACTAAAGATCAAAGTACCCAGATCATCAAACTCGGAGACAATCTTGATACCTTGAGAATCAGAGGAGAGAGGGAAAGCAGAGACGGGGATGCTCTCGAAGCAGGCGTTGAGCTTCTCTTTAGGGCTGAGCTGTGGCTTCTGCTCGTCCCAGAGATCTTCCACACGCATCCCTAGCTTAGCTTCTGGGCTCGACACGTCACTTCGATGCCCTAAGCTCTCGCTCCTCATTATCTTTATCTCCGGCACACTCGCCATCTTTTCCGGCAAGCTCACAGTGAAAAAGGTACAGACTTTTTTTTTACTCCGGTAGCACAGAAAGGAAAACAAAAATCCTCTCTTTTATCCTTCAGAGGTTTGCTACAATTGGCAAATCTGATCTTTGAGCTGAACCAGAGATTGAAATGCCCTTTACGATCAAGACACGATGGTGTGTATAGTAGAGAGATCTCGATGAAATTTTCAGAAGAAAAGGAAGAAGGCCCAGTGTCTTAAATATATTGAATAAAAGTCCTATATGTTATTAATTGATCAAAACAATCCATGAATTTTCAATTTAATCAGAGAGATACGGGATTATTTTGAAACAAAATGGTTTTCATTGGGTGTAATTTGTAATTTGTTTTCAAGTCTTGTTTCGGATGTTGTTTCGTTAGTCTAAAGGATATGATAGAAGACTGTGGTTGTCTACTAGTGCATTGTACTCTTTCAAGTACACTCAGAATCTGAGTCGTTGAATTGAATGCTCATGACACGTGGAGGATTCACCGGTGATCATTTTGGTATTGGTGGTGATAACGAAAGACGATGATTATAAATATAATAATGTCTCCATTTTGTGGAAGTCATACTTATCTCTATCATCTTTAGAGTCCGCGCCAAATATTTTATTTATTTAGTTGGATTAGACTATTATTATAATATCCTGCCAAATATTAGCAGCCGACCTCCTTATTTCTACAAATTTTGTTTTTTTATCAACAGCTCTCTATAGTGTTTATATAGTTTTGCTTTGCAAAATGGTGTTTTCTGAAAGAGTATTTTTTGCTGATAAACATTTATACCAAATTTAAATAAATAATAATTTGTTTCGATTGTCCACAACTGTATTTATAGCTAATGATGTCTCAGTTTGAGACTCAAGACTCATGAATGTTTTTAAAAAGGACTTTTTAGTGTAATAACTATATTGGAAAACAATCTAAAAATATAGTTATTTTATTTAAAAAAATTAAGAAATAACCATAGTCTATAGAAAAATTACAATATATTTCTTCGATTTTAAGTAAAACATATATTATGATATATTTTTTTGACGTATAGGGTAGTCAATTTTTTAATTCTAAAACTTATACCATCACATCTATACTATAACTAGCGAGTTCTATACTATTTGACAATATGCAATTTAGTAGTTTAATTGTAACTGCAATACTATACTATTTTTAATTTAAAGTATAATAATTGAGAAATAATATATAACTAAAAACTCTCGTACTATATTATAGTAGTGTTATTGTATACTGAACATACTATAGTCCAGTAGTAAACCATATGTTATCAAAAATATACTATATGTTCAAATAAGAAAATAAATTATAATGGTGGAGTCTTTCTATTATTTTAATGATATTTTAAATTTTATCTTTATTTTTTTACTGCTAACGTCAGCAAATAACTTTCACTCTATTTTAAACAAAGAGTTTTTTAATATTTATTATAGAATATATAAAGAATATAATAATCTTTATATTAATATGATTATTTTCCAAATTATAGGCATTTATATGGCTATATCAGTCAATTCCCTTTAAAAAAAAATGAATGCTTAAAACTTTTAGTCAGCTTTGTATTAGTACTGTTTTATCAATCTCTAATTTATTGGACGATTTTTAGATTATAATCCCTGTATATGTGTGTGTCGCATCTTCTGTCAATCATAGACTACAAGCTAGATCTGTCATTTTGAGGATCTAATTTATTATTGAGCTCCCGAATGACTTTTAAGGGAAATGCAGATAAACGAATCACGCATGACGCAAGTAGTCTCCCCCTCATTAAATTACAACTATCGATCAAAGTAACACAAGTTAATTCGATTAGATTGTGGACTTGTTATCTAAAGAGGAATATATTTAATATTAAAGCATTGAGTATGTTATAGCTAATATTGTTATTGTTTTTTCTTCGTCTGACTAAAATGAGAAAGATGAATTAAAAAAAATATATAGTAACGACAACACCTAAACAGAGTAAACTGAAAAGCAGAAACATAATAAACCAAAACAGCGAGCACCATATATTGTTATTATAATTATTTGTTTTTGTTCTTTAACAAAAAATATTCGCTACAAACAAAATTTAGACTAGGGTTTATACGAAGCTTATAAATATTTTTGTAATTGGAATCGCTTATTTCACTCTCATTTTTTCACTTGGATTGATTACTACTAAATCACGAAAATTTAGACAAATGCGTGAAAATTCAGTCTCTTTTTTTTTTACGGTTTGAAAACTTCGCTTTATGTACTTCTCCGACTTCGCTGAGTACTACTAGTCTTTTATATTTTCCGAACGCTGATTTCACAATTTTGTCCACAATAAGGAGGATAAATAACCTTAGCTAGTCCGGGCTTGACTAACCGGTTAAGAAGACAATGGTGATAAACCAAACAGACTTTTAGTTTTACCGGATAAGTCAGGTTGATGAATAAAATGTTTGACTAGTCTATTTAGGGTTTTATAATGTAAAGTGTTCATCCCTTTGACGTCGTCTATATCTAAATCGGACTGGGATGTTTCATCCAATTTATACTTGACTTTTTTGTATGGACCTTGGATTTAAATTTGACATAATGAATGGTCTCGTAACGTACTGAATTCAATGCTGAGCTCTTAGGCCCAATTTGGCTAGCTGGATCACCAACACATATGTATGTATATATAGTGGCATAATTATGTGCAAAACGAGCTATATAAGGAAAAATATGGGGAGAAGTGGCTTTGAATTCATCAGTGTTCATACAAAATCAAAAACCGAAAAATTTATTTTCCAATGAAATCATATATGAGATAGCTATGAAATAAGAGCATGATGTAAAAACACAGAAATATGTTGGTGTAGTTTTACAATTATTGAGATTCACATATCAAACGTTTTTGGGCAGAGGTGAGCCAACATCAACAACAAAATGTTGGACGGTATAACCACAAGTTCTTTGGACGGTGAGAATGATTGAAATTCAATGGGAAAATAAAAACGGCTATTCCTTTTGTTCATTTGTATCTTCTTTTATTTCTCTATCAAATCAAATAATATTGGAATCATATAATTCACAGAGTGGCGCCGTTGTTTTTGTCTGTCTGTCGTCATTTCCTGCACTAAAATGAAATATTCACTAAAAGTGTGGCTAGAATCACTTCATGGCAATACCTTCTTATCATTGTTATTAATCACATGATCAGTCTCAAAGTACATAATTTTATCAAGGATTATCAAACTCAAACAAAGCGATAATAAGCTAAATTTTTTCTTATTCGTCAAGAAAAAACCAACTTTGAATTAAAATTCCATAGTATTTCACAACATACAAAAGTATATATAAATGACAATAACAAATACTCCCTCTGTTTTTAAATGTATGGTGTTTTAAGATTTTTGCTTGTTTTTAAAAGTTTGATGTTCTAGCTTTTAGTTAATTAAATATTATATTTACTTTAATTCTATTATAATTATGGTGGAAAATAAAAAAGTAACTAAAAAGTAAAGTATCTTAAAAACTATGCAAGAACTAAAACATCACCTATCAAAAAAGGGAGTGAGTATGATGTTACTTCGTAAAAAAACCATAATACTAATAACAAATTATGAGGTATTTTCAGGTTTCTCTTCTAATTACTACCGGAGTAGTAAATAGATTTACATAAGTTTTTTACCAAAACAGTAGCATGATCTGTCACAATATAACAAAGAATTATAAAAACAGAGATAGTTCTTCATTCTTAAAACAAAAATAAATAAGCATAAAACAATACAAAAGTATGATCACTGGTCACAATTTAACAAAGAATTATAAAAACCGAGATAGTTTTTCATTCTTAAAACAAAAATAAATAAGCATAATATTAGCAATACAAAATATGGGTGATTTGCTTCCAAAAAAAAAACGTGTGTAGGTGATTTTCGGACACACGAGGCTAGAAATAATTCCCATAGAGTCAAGCTTAAAGAAGAACGTGCAAAAAATGAAAAAGCCACAGTGGGAACAATATTTTGGTCATTCTTCCAATGAGGCTGTCGAGCTAACATTTGTTTTCTTCTTCTTTCTTTTCATTCTTTTTGGACCAATTCTTCTTTCTTTTCTTCTTATCAAGTAATGTCGCTACGGTCTACTTCCTAAATTTCGGCTCGAGGTTTATTTAACACCCGACCATTTTATCAAAAGTATAATCGCTCGGATTTTTCCAAAGCATTATAATAGAATAGCACATAATGTAAAACGACCTAAATTCATGGTTTGGATCTATGTTTTTGCTTAATCGCATTTCCAACCAACGTGTTCAAATTTTAACTACTATTATACCCTAGAGACGACTATTGAATTCAAACTAATCTAATAAATACTGTTATAAAAGTTTGGATGTTCAATATTACTCTAACAACTAATGGAGATGCCGTATATCATTTGGGTTTTGGTTAACCATGTAATATTTGTTGACAACTTCATAATCAATTAATAATGTACATGCATAAGATAGTTTACTTTATATAGTATATTTTCCTGGCGTCGTTAGTTTCTATAGTGGTTTGTGACTTTTGTCGGCGAATATGCCACGTGATGAGCTTTTTGACTTACACTTCTCCAATGCGTTTACAACACGTCAAATTTGGAAGACAAATGCGGCTCAAATGGACTCTACTGAATAAAAACAAATTAAGCACCATAATAATTATAAAAAAGACATATAAAAGTGTAAAAAATATCTTATTTCCTTTTATAGACGACAAAAACAAAAAATCGTATTTCATTTTATAAAAATTAAATTTACAATATAAATAAGGTATTTCTTATTCTATCATGGATTTTAATAGAATCACAATCCAATGTTATTTAACTAATGTTTTTAAGTTATACTTTAATTCAATGCTATTGGATCTTTCATTTGTAACTCATTCTTGAAGGATTTTAAAGTTTGATATTATTTAATGAAGATTTCTAAAGCTCCATTAAAATCTAGTGTTATTTAAAACTGAAATA